CATATTTTAAAATCAAATGGGGCTATTGTGTCCATTATCCTTCAAATCTTTCTCGCAACACTCGGATCTTGAAATTTGGGGAATATCACTCGAATATTCCTCAGTTTTAGGTAAGACATACTCAGTCAAGTTACTGGCTTAGATCTGAATCACGTGCGCGAGCGAGAATAGTTTGATGGATTATAAGTTACATCAGTGGTAATAAAGGAATGCTCGAACATTGGTAAGCATCAAATAAATGTCCCGGCTTAAGTAAGCGAATCAAAGATATCTAAAGTGTGAATGATACGGAGAAAGGTATCTGGCTTGTCAGCTCCCAGAGTCACCTTACGCTCTATACATGGTCACTCTAGCTGGCTTTGCGAGGTTCCTCGTTAACATTTCACCTCAATCTATTTATAAAGAACGGTATGAATAGTTCTCACACCAATGATGCGGGTCTGTGTGGGGGGTGAACCTCCAACCAGGACAAACTTTCTCCTCAAGTATACAGTCGAACGTATCTTGGACACCTGCGAGGCAGAGCTGAGTGCCTGCATTATGGAGGTGTACGTACTAAAGGGGAAGATAACAAATAAATTCTGGTTTCTCTAGGAAGGAGTAATCAAAAAATGACTCAACACTAAATAGATATTATTACACTTCTAACAGTGCATAGTTGCCTGAGGTCTCCTTCGAATTTTTAAAAGCCTACCTGAGGGTATAGTTAATTGCGGCTAGGGTCGGTGTTCAGGACTGCACGTGTGGGAACCCTAACTTTGGGTATTTTCCTTATGAACAGATTTGTTATCCCAAGGGTCCTTAGGTATATTTTACTTTCATCAATATATCGCTTTCTTTTCTTTCAAAGATCCTTTGCCGTCCATAGATAGGTTAAAATGTGAAGATGACTGCTAACAGAAGATTGCAGAGGGAACAGCACTTAGAGGAGTGTTACGAAAAAAGCCTTTTATGATGTAGTTAACCCCCAAAAATATCGTATTTACTCAAATAAGTCCCTGGTCCTCGAATAAGCATCGTGCCCCTGGGAAAAAAGGTGCCGCTCATTCAAAACACTTAATTAGACTTTAAGGCGCCAGAATTCAAAGAGGCTCACGCTCATACAAAGCCACGATACTTTACTCCATTTTTGGCAAGAAGCGAGGACTGTCCCATTCGGGTCAGACACGTTTATCACTGAGTTTTCAATTAGTGCTTCCCTTTTACCTGAAAGAAGTATAAAGCTTGGATAATTTGTCCTCCAATAGTATTTTTTCGCAGCTATAAAAAAACAAAATGGGGAAACGTTCTGTGTTGTTGTTGTTGTTGTTGTTGCTGCTGTTGTTGTTTTTTTTTTTTCAGTTTACTAGCAAAGAAGGTATGGAATGAAATGCTCCCTCTATCGTAATAAAAGATGGCTTTTGAGACTAAGTGAACATGTCAACGATATCCGAGCTAACTTTGAACAATTAGCGAAAAGCAAATTTATTTTCTTCATTAATATACTGTAATGTAGTTCTATCCTATGCAGCTGTGGTTATATTCATTTCCAATTTCCAGGTTCCCATATGTCCATGGATTTAAAGCTGTCTTTCAGATTCTTCAAATTTCACAGCTTATGGAATCTGAATGTTCCGTTGAACACTTGAACCCTGTTCTCGTTTTTCAAGACACTTCACTTTGTTAAAGACTTCAATGATGTCTTAGGTCAACTGGAGATAATCCTAGTCTGCACGTAGTACATTGTTCTAGTAATAAAATATTTTTCGGGATGACAGAAAGTTTTGGCCGCATTGACCCAATCGCGGTGGAACTGTCGTCAAGCTAGGAGGTAGATTGTGTCTATTTTGAGACTAAAGTTAAAATCCTCAAGACACCTCGACAAAATTAACATGGTGGATGGCATGAAATACTCTCTCAATCCGGCGTAATAAAACATGTCTTTTGAAACTAAGTGAACATGGGATCGACATCGGAGCTAAACGTGAACACTTAACAAAAAGCTTGACTTCATTAATATATATGTTCCCATGATGTACTTCTGTCCTGGGCATGCGTGGTTATATTCAGTTCCACATAATGGTTTCCCTGTGTCCATCGATTTAATACCATGTTTGGGGCTCTTCAAACTTCACAGCTTATGGAACCTGAAACATGTTCGGTCGAACACAGCTGTCGAACACTCGAGCCCTGTTCTCGTGTTCCAAGACACAACTCAAGAGACCGGCGAATTATTGAAATATTCTTCATGGCTGGAAAAAGGGGAACATAATAACACTTTGTTAAAGAACTCAACGATGTCTAAGGTCAACTCGAAATAATCCTACGTCTACACAGGCATCCCAAGCTTATGTTTCAAGAAAGGAAACAATTAATTAAACCCTTTACACGCTTATATAAATGAATAGTTAGTAAATACTTCGCTTTATCGATAGGGACGTGAGTTTGGCACACTTCTGCTCCTAGGTATATTACTCTAATGGCAAAAAGTTGGCAACCTTGACTCATACGTTTTTGTCTTCTCTCGTAAAAATAGTCGTGAAGCCAAGAGGTATGTAAACTTCTAAGTGTTGTGTTCTTCAACGAAAAAGACGTATCGCTAGTAGTCTTGAGTTATTTATGTAGTGCAAACATTCAATCAATTCATTCAAACTATTTGATCACAGGTGACTATTTAGCAAAAGTGAAAGATGAACAAGTCCGCTACAGTTGTCGCCATTTTGGCTGTGTTTCTACTCACAACCCTTGTGACTGTTGACAGGTAAGTCATTTGACCGAGCTAGGAGCGGAAATTTGAGGGAATTTGCATTGCTTCCTTTGCCATTCGTCCCTTCTTTTTAATACCACAATGCATTTCATACATTGATCTTACAATATTAAATAACCGCGAAAGACAACATTCTTCATCAATTCGTACGCGAGTATGACAGACTAACATCTTACTTTTTGAGTTATTTATTTTTAAACTTCTAGTATAGTATTTACTGTTTTAGAAGTATACCAATTAAAGATTTAAGACTCCATCTTGTTTCCTTCGCGCCAAAACTGTGATCCGAGATACTCGATTTGCATTATAAGAAATTTATCTCAAACAACGTTGGCAACATTGCTCACTGATCTCAGTATTAATCCAAAGGACTCATTTAGCAATTCGCTTTTGAGGGTAAGACGGAGATCTCATTTTCTTTTTCTTCGAAGCTTGTTTTTTTTTTCTTTACCACACTGTTCGCGGTGTTTTGTGTTCGTATCGTCTTTTCATGTTCCTTTAAGGAGCCCTTGCGGCCAGTTTTGGTAAGTGTTTAAACTGAGGACGTTCAGTCAAAGGGATTTTGAATACGAAAGTGGGGGTTTTCCGGCGCAAATTAATCAAACAAGAAAGATCCATTGCAGTAGTTTCTCAATTAAAACCAATCGATGAAGATCTAGGATAAAAAAAGCATTTTGCTATGGTATTCGACCAGTATTGTGCTGGATTGCTGTATATTTCAATCGGAGGAACGAACGAAAGAACGAACGAACGAATGAATTATACCTGGACCCATCAACTCACTTCCTGCAGACTGTCACTGCAAAAGAAAAAGCGCTGTAAAGGCTATCATATGTACAGTTGTATAATAGAATAAAAAATAAACTATACGTTCTTTCTGTGTAAGTTTACTCATGACCCACTCGATAATGGCCAGGTTTCTCCTCCCAGCCGCCGATAGCACATTNATATCGACAAACACTGACGTTTCCTTTGAGCGCGCGCAGATTACTTCCTCAGCGCTCGCGCGATCGTAAAACTATAGGGAGCCACCTTAATTCAAAAGAATCCAAACTCATTGGCCTCGTTAAGTTTTGTAGATACTACGCAAAACAGAATCTAACGTAACTGTTAATAATTTCAGCAATCTGGAATCTGGACGTGGTCTTCACTGAGCAAAACCGAATATATTCCAGGCTTTCAACAAAGCTTTCTAATGTTCAATAATGACTGTGGTTTGGTACGCAGAAGTAAAGCCGGTTTCCTTGTTAAGACTTGTGTAAGTAAACACCTACCTTCTGAGTTATTTATCGGATGCTTCTTTTCATGGTTTGTTAGTAAAATACTTAACGGCGAAACAGTAATAGCTTTCAGCACATCCTCGCAATCATTGTCGAGTTGGTGCTATCTACACTAATAGGAAAGCTGTTCGGGCTAATCCAGACGCTAGTTAGGGTAACCTAAGCGCTATTTAGGTTAACCAAAGCACCATTTAGGCCCGAGAATGCTACCGAGGCGACCCGAGCATATGTTACAACTCTCTGTTACCCGTTATGTCGTTGCACCATGCTGGTTTTCTCTAGCTAAGTGACGGAGTCGGAGTCGGAGTCGTACTCAGAAGCCTAGAGTGATACTATCTAATGAAATCAAACTAACGGAGTCGGAAGCAGAACACCGCATCCGCCTACGACTCCGTCGCTTACGATCCAGTGAAAACTAAATTGTCGGAGTCGCAAGCGGAAGCGGAAGAATAAACCAATCACAATGTTTGATTCCGGGCCTTGTGATTGGTTGGTTCTTCCGTTTCTCCTTCCGACTCCAACAATGTAGTTTTCATTGGATCCTAAGCGACGGAGTCGTAAACGGAATCGGAAGAAATGGAAACGTTGCGATTCTTCCTACTCCGATTCCGTCGAGCTTACGACTTCGCATACGAATCTGATTTTCGATTTTTACTAAGTTATAAGCGCTCTTATCACTCCGACCACGACTCCGGCTCCGACTCCGTCGCTAGTGAAAACCAGCCTTTAGTAAGACGCCAATGCGGAGCATTGAGTTTCGTGTGATCTCGCATTATTGTCAATCAAACCAAACAACGTACGCGTGCAACACGTGGAATTCGCATGGCCTACTAAGTGATAAAGTTATTTCTATGCTATGAAATTTAACCACACTTACTTCTGAGTGGAGTCGAAATATATGTGACTTATTGTGTTAGTTGTCACGTTTATTCAACATCCATGGCCTTTCCAATTAGTAATTCGATTAATCAGCNAGACTTTTGCATCAGTGCTTCATGTGCGATCGACGGCTATGGATATTGCCCTTATCCGGATCAGAATTGTTGTCGCTGGGGTCCTCAGGTAAATTTTAAATCTATGAATATTGATATATTTTTCTTTCAAAGACCCTTTGTTTTTCACAGAAAGCCTGGCTGTAATGTTAAACCGACTGTTAGCAGAAGATCTGAAAACGCGTTTAACGAGAAAAGCATTTGATGATGAAACTAACTTTTAAGAATCGTAGTTACTCAAATAAGCACCGTACTTGAATAAGCACCGCACATGAGAGCAAACGTTTAAATAACCGCCCTTGACTGCATGAAGCGCTGAACACCTGGACCGCAACCCGGCGTTGATTTGACACACTTCTACTGTACAGCGCGACCGTGAGTCAAAGAGGCTTAGACGCCCATAAAGCTACTTCACTCCGATTTAATACAAAACTAAGGGCTGTTATATTGGGTTCAGAAACGTTTGATGACGAGTTTTAAGCTGAAAGCAGTAAAACGCTGATAGAATTTTTCGTCCTTCCAGAAATGTACTAGCATCATTTCGTTAACCCCCTTCTCTCTCCCTTCGCTTCTTTCTCTTCGTTTTTGAAAGCAAGAACATGTTTTCGAATGATATCATTAATTACTTAGAATGATTTATTATTTCTTTTTTTCATCTGCAGTGACAACTGAACGGCAACTACCCGTCAACGACGTTAACAGTACCGAATAAAATAAGTCATTGGGACGAGAGCTGTCTTTGTCGGGTTACAATACTGCAGTTTTTGCAGAAATAAAAATTAAAAAATGGAGAAATCACTGGCGTTGTGTGTTTGTTTTCTTTCATCTACA